AATTCTAGACTTACTTAAGCTGTACTTTTTAAATCGATTAATTGGAGATCGATTAATCGATCCATGCCGAGATATTTTCTTTTTTGGCATTCGGTTCATTAATTTATTAAAAAATTATGTTCATCTTTCTTTTTAAATCGATTAACTAAAGCCCTCAAAATCGAAGCAAAATCATTAGTATCGAAACTCGATTACTTTTGTTTATTTAAAGAAATGACCCCCAATCAAGTAGTTCTCCAAAAACTGCTTACAAAAATAAAGAATGAGGCAGATTGATTCATACCTTCCGCCAAATATTGGCTAGAAAAATTTAATTCATTTGTAAGTGATTTTTCTCAAAGTTTTTGTCGCTCTCGATTCGAAACGATTCAGAGGATAGCTTTTTTCTAGCTTCAATTGGCATCTCTAAGGCATCTACAGTTAGGTGCGTGAAATATTTGAAAGAAGCGCGTGAAGTAACCAAGTTTTCAACTGGATAAAGTGGATTAAAGCGGGAACTCGATTTTTTTTTTTTCTTAAATTTTGCAGATCAATGGCGGATAAGACAACGGTTTAACTAATTGTATAGGTTTTCTTGCGCAGTTCTTGCACGTGTGAGCAATATGCAGCGCACCTTTTTGAGCATGCGAGGTATAACATATTTTTTGTTTTTTCAGTGAGTTATGGAAGGGTTAATAAAAATGTGCTTAATTTTCTCATGGCATTGCTGTATTGTGAACTTTGGATTTCAATTTTTATTTAAATTTAACGGTTTATAGAATGTCTTTTTTTATAATTCACTGTTTTAAATATGTATCTGATTGTGTGTGTGTATGTATGTATTTTGAAATCTTGTGCTATTAACTGTATTTTATGTGATTCTTTATCATCGCTAGTGATACNCATTTTTATTTAAATTTAACGGTTTATAGAATGTCTTTTTTTTATAATTCACTGTTTTAAATATGTATCTGATTGTGTGTGTGTGTATGTATGTATTTTGAAATGTTGTGCTATTAACTGTATTTTATGTGATTCTTTATCATCGCTAGTGATACACATTTAACACATGTTCTTGACGAGTTTTACAAATATTGCTTTTGCCTTATTATAACATATTATGTAGGTATGTATGTATTTTAAATTGATTTATTTTTTCGGCCGCATACTGTACGTAATGATATTTTGAAATATACTTCATTGTATGTATGTATGTATACTTTGTTGATATTTTATTTATTGTTATGCAAATGATATACATCTGTTTTAACCAAGAGAGCTTTTCCTGTTTATGTTTCTTGTTTTCGTTTTTTTTTTTTTTTCTTTTGATGAGCGCGTTCATGGGACACTTTTTAAATGTGAAATTTTTTAAATCAATTTTGCTCACATAACTGCTGCATATTTTCTTAAAATATTTTAGATTCAATTTAATTTTACTATTTCCTTGAAAACTCTTTAAATATGCAGAGTAAATATTTGTATATGTAAGTAGGTATATGTAATACATTTATTTTTTTTATTTACTTACAGCTAGTCACTACCACAATGCTAACCCATTTCAATACGTTTTTTGGTGTGTTTTTTGCTCGTACTAGTGCATGCTAGTACGCATTTATTTATTTATTTTTTAACACTAAATTGTACCTAAATTAAATTTAGTAGTTTTTTTTTCACTTTTTATAACAAATGCTATGCGTTTTTTTTTATTATTATGACATTGCAATTTACATGCTAAGCATATTTGGGTTTTATATGTATGTACTACATGTAAATATGTATGTTTAGTAATTGATGTTGTTTTTTATTAACTATTTTTTACTTTTGTTTCGTACAATTTTTTTTTATCTCATCCCAGAGTGTACATACATATGTATGTATGTATGTCCTAAAGTGTATGCGTAGGAGTGCTCAACTATAAGCCAAGTAAAAAATAATCGGCTTTTTAGCTTTCCATGAACATGCACACATACACGTTTGTACACATTTATGTAGTATTTAATATTATATATATATGTATAAGTTTTGATATTCACATATTCTATTGTATTTGTGGTAGTTTGTTTTTTTTTTTGTTTGCTGTTTGGTGTCTTCTAGACAACATTTACTTTATTTTCTGTTTGTTAATTTCTATTCCAATTTCTGGTTTTCACCCTACATATTCCTAAATATACATACATTGAAGCGCTAATCATTTTACATTTGTTGGATTTTAAAGGCCTTTCTACTACGTTTCCACGCTTTTCTACTCACACAAGTTGCATACACACTTAGTGCATATCTTTTATTGTTCTTCATTTTCTATATGTATGCATGTATGTATATACTATACATATATCCTGCACCGATATTATCAATGATGTACATACATACATATACTGTGAGTGCAGATATTGGATATGAACTCAAGTCAAGGGAAATTACTTTAAAATTAAGAAATAAATAACCCAACAAACCAACCCAACCAAATATTTTTATTACTAAAATTTTAGTATTAATTTTTTTTTACTCTATTCGAATAGTAACGGTTAATAGTAAAAAATTAAGTTTTTAAGAAAACTTTGAACTTTGTCTAAAAAAAAATTAATACATACTATTGTTTTATTTAAAAGTTGGAAATTAAAAAAAAAAAATAATAAACAGAATACGTTTGAAATATACGTTAACATATCATCAGGAACGTTCTAAAGAATAAGTAAACAAAAAAGTTTATTCCAAACGTTCAGAATGAATAAAGAAATTCAGCCTTTGTTTTAAATGGGAATCGTTTGAAAAACAAGTAATTTTTAAGCACAAAAAAACCGACTTCAATGCTCATATAAAAACTTGGGATTGCCACTAGTTTCTTCATGCTCTAATGAGATAAACAATTGAGAGACATACCACCTCTCCTTTAAAAAACGAATTATCGAAAACTATTCACGTGGCCCAAAGTTATCCGGTAACGTACATAAAAGAAAGATTCCGACTTTTTTGAAGTCGGTTAAAAGTAGATTTTACGTAAATAGGTAAGATAATTTTTCCTGGGATATGAATTTTCTTTAAAAAAATACTCTAAAATTGTAGTAAATTTTTTCTACGCTTAATTAGGATGTATTTAAACTAGTTTTTGCATTTAAAGGAAAATTATTTGAGAAAAATATTGAAAATATTCTAAAAGTGAGCATTTCTCAAGGAAAACTTTGAATACTAAAATTNCTTAAAAATAGATTTTATGTAAATAGGTAAGATAATTTTTCCTGGGATATTAATTTTCTTTAAAAAAAATACTCTAAAATTGTAGTAAATTTTTTCTACGCTTAATTAGGATGTATTTAAACTATTTTTTGCATTTAAAGGAGAATTATTTAAGAAAAATATTGAGAATATTCTAAAAGTGAGCATTTCTCAAGGAAAACTTTGAATACTAAAATTTTATAGACAATTTTTACTTTTTTATAACCCATTATTTTATTACAACCCATTTTTGTTTTATTATAACCCAGTTTTTTATTAAATGTACAATTTTTCTAAAACAATTCTAAACATTCAATTTATGAAAGCGCTAACAAAAATCTTAGTAAAAATTTATACAAACGTTTACAAAGAAAGCAAATTATACATATGTATGTATGTATGTACATTAACGTGCATGACCAAAAAAAAAAGTTGCAGTTTTTTCACCGGAATTATAATATTTATTATATTTTAAAACTTCCGCCAAAATATTTAGGAACAATATTAAGACTTACGTGAGCTAGACTGATTTCAAAATACCTCCAAATATTTTATTATTTTGATTCAGTTGATGAAATTTTCAAACATTTTATGCGGACCTTTTAACCTTAAACTATTCTATCATCTGAGGTGATTTTGTGCAAAAAATATTGTTAAAAACAAATTTTATTTGTAAAAAAACTCAATTTTTGAGGTATTTGAAAATCGGTTCAGTTCACGTAAATCTTAATATTTTTCCGAAATATTTTGGTGGAAATCTTAAAATATAATCGATTTTATAATTGCAATGGAAAAACAGTACCGATTTTTCTTTTTATGGGAGTGCTGCAGTCTAATGTACATAGCTTTAAAATTTGTCAAATAATTGACTTTACTTGTCGCTTGATCTCCCTAAACCTTTTCTCTAAAATATGAAATTTAAAAATGCAAAATTAAACATCAAAATTAAAATGAATTTCTGCTAAGCCNCTTTGGTGGAAATCTTAAAATATAATCGATTTTATAATTGCAATGGAAAAACAGTACCGATTTTTCTTTTGTATGGGAGTGCTGCAGTCTAATGTACATAGCTTTAAAATTTGTCAAATAATTGAATTTACTTGTCGCTTGATCTCCCTAAACCTTTTCTGTAAAACATGAAACTTAAAAATGCAAAATTAAACATCAAAATTAAAATGAATTTCTGCTAAGCCGAGAAAAATTTATCATTTTTGAATATTTAAAATGCATGTTTGTGCCTCTTGACCTTCAACGAATATAAAAATCCATCCCTCATATTAATTCTGTCCGGCGCTCGCATACATTTCCCAAACTTTTTGTTACAACTTACAAATAGGTTCATGCAAGGAACGTCTTAGTGCGAAATGAATTTACATACCGCCTAAATAGCCTTAGTGGCAAAAATGAGACTTGGTAACCCTGAACGCCAGGCACCGAGCTTCATGTATTAATAAATATCCAAATAAATTCCAACTCATGAAAAATAAATCTTATTTTTATAAAAATTTCGAACGACTTTCGCATTTAAGCATTAACTTAGCTCCGATACCATTTTCTCACTTAGCATAGATGAAAAAAATAAAAGAAATTTTTTAAACCTAGAAACCAACATCTAAAGGAACACATCAAAAGCGAGTCTCCAAACATCTGCTCTCCCGCGCTAACAATTCTGCTTCGCTAATACTAACACTAACTTGTACGATTTTTTTTTTTTGGTTTTTTTGATTATAAAACTTATTCAACCCCACCCTAGGCCCCATACCGCATTTAGTTAGATTCTTATAAAATTTTCCATTTTCCTTTCATCATTTTTCAATTTCAAGCTTAGCGCCTACGTTCGCTTGTACCATCTGTCAGGCAAACCAACGTCTATACCCGACACCAACATAACGAAGCCACCGATCGTTCAACCACTCTGTCCGCCAACCCCTTAAAATTAAACCTAAACAACAACAACGAGAGCTCATTATAACGTCGCTTACACTGTGACGCCAGCCAGCGCTGCCAACACTGACCAATCGGGCTGCTTTCATCGAATGCTGCACCGATTCAACTTTTGTCTCACGCATTCAGCGCTCAACAACATTTCGCGCATTCTGATTTGACTTTGGCAGCTGCTTCTAATGCTGCGGCCGCTGCTATTTCTGCCGCCTCGGCTGCCGCTTCCGCCGCCGCCTGTGCCTGCGCCTTGGCATGCACTTCCGCCTCGGCGCGTCGCTTTGCCGCCTGACATTGCTCACAGTGTTTCTCCAAGAATTTCATGGACAAGTGGAACGTATATCGGTGCCGGGTACAACGCCTTTACATTTTGTATTCCACAATCTTGTTTGGATTTAGGAATTGCTCACGCTGTGCCGCATCTAAATGGGCCACGGTGCGAGTTAAACCGGATGCGGCAGTTGTTGTTGAGGAATGTTTTTGTTGTTGCTGCGACTGCTGCTGTTGCTGCTGCTGTTGTTGTTGTTGCTGCTGTTTATTTTTATTGTTATTTTCCGATTGATAGTAGCCACCAGCGCTGAGTACACCAACATTGACACCCGCCACCACCGGCTGTTGCTGGTACCCAGAGTATTGCGGATAATAAGGCGGCGTTGTATGTTGCGTGGCGCTGACACCACCGCCACCGCCGCTCATCATGTCTACAGTTTGTACATTTCCGCCAGACTGACTTTGAGGATGCTGCTGCTGTTGCTGTTGCTGTTGCTGTTGGTGTTGCTGACGCTGCGTATGCTGATGGTGGTGGTGTGTGGAGGTGCGCGGTTGCTCCGAATGCAGTATCGGATACTGTTGCTGATGTGAATACTCCTGTGAAGTGCCGCCACCTAGACGCGCCGTCGATTCGTCGTGCAGCCCTTCGCCCATGTCGCCATCGCGGTTGTGCGCGCCACGTATGCAGAGCTTAGTGAAGAGCCAGACGCGCGTACGGTAGAGGAGATAGCAACAGAAGTGCACCACAAAGACGAATATGATGGCACACACCGTGACAATGATGGCCTTGCCCGGTTTGGTCCAGTCCAGCATGGGATAGATGTAGACATTGTTTTTTCTGCAAACAATAATTTGTTGGATTTCTCAGAAATTTTTTGCAATGTTGGGGATATGCCAATAACGGTGAGGGTGCTGATTTAATCGTGTTGTGCAAAATGTATCCATGCAACAGTGGCGTGCAAAATAAAACAAAATGCAGGCGTGCAGGAAATGAAATGAAAGTTTCACTTTATAAAATTAACTTAAAATTTTACAAACAAAATTTCACAAACTTAAGGTTTTTTTTTAAATACTCGTATGTACACTAAGGTCGTCCAAAATAAAGTCGGAATTTTAATGCTCTCATCCGCTAGGATAGTTCCATATCGAAAAAAATTTACCGCTATTTTTTATTTTGAAATCAAAAAATATTTAGAGGTCGGTCAAAGCGCTCAAGGTTTTTTATTTATTTTATATGGGAAAAAACAACTTTTCGTAGAGATGGTGTATGGAATTCTAGAAAATCAATATTTTTATATGAATAAGTATATCAAAGAAGCAAACACACACACAAGCATGCAGATAGCAATTTTTTCTATTAAATAAATCACAAAATTTGAGTATTTTAAAGTAACTATAATAGCTGCTCCTAAACAGGTGAATTAGAAAAAGTCTTGTAAGTCAACTCTTCCATACAATCAGAAAAACGGGATAAGTTACGTTTGGTTTTAGGTTAGGTTAGGTTAAGAAGGCGCGTACGAATGACTCGTACTTCCACTCGGAGGCAGACTTGCCCATTGTAAATGCCCTTTATGATTGCCAGGGAGAGGCACATCCTTCTAACCGAACTTATTCCATAGTGTCCGAAAAGCTATATACTATCTGGGATGACGCTGTGGAGCTCCGATATTTCCACTTCCATCTCCCCCAAACTATTGAAAAAGCGTCATCCCAAATGCCTGAGATGCCGCATCTGGAGAGCTGGGAACTGAATAAGAAGTGGTGAATCGATTCTGCATCTTCCCTCACCTCGATAATTTTATCTCCAGAAACGCAGCAGAAGAGGGTTTTTAGACGTGTCTCAGTGAAGTCAGCGATGCACGACATTTCCAAACCACTTTTGAATTTATTAACCCGGAACTTAACGTTTTCAATGTCAACGAGCATAGTGACGTTCCCTGGCACAGACTTACTATATCATATAAGGCAACCGCCTTCTCTGTGGCAAAGATCTTCGCCTGAAAGACACTGCGGTTATCAGATAGGCGATGTGATTGCCATATCCGTAGGTCCTTGGAGTATAGACCCGAGCTGACTCCCTTTTACATCCTTGAGCCATCGGTGTAGATGGAAATACCCTCATTTACTGGCAGTGGGTCACATTTCCAATCTTCCCTAGTTGGAAAAAGTACGGGAGTTCGAAAACTTAAATCCCATGTTGACGTAAGGTAATCAGTTTCAAAACATCTGTGTGCCCATAAGTGGTCTGCTTTCAAAATTTTGATGCCCTTAGTCGAAGGGTCCCTTTTGCGGCCGTGCCTGTTACGAATACTTGTAGTGGCTTCAAGTAAAATATCATGAACAGTTCTTCTTGTGGGCGCTTCCCACGGCGCCTGATATACTGAGCCTTGCGAGGTGCAGAGACTTGCCAATTATATTCTGATTGCTACTTTTACCCAGTGCTTTCCAACAGACCAGCGTCTGCCTTTAAGCACTATCTGAGGAGATGCGTCAAGCTATTTTCTTGAAATGTACCGACCTTTTACAGTACATGGGACTACATCAGTTGGCTTCTCGTCCTAACGACTTGAGTCAAATTCAAGCTGGACGAAATCGAGATCTCGAGAACGTGCAATTGTAAATATGGGTCCTTGGGTTACCATAGGTTTAAGCTACCGCTGCTCCCCCACTTGAAGTAATTGTACGAAGTAACCAAATATCGTCGACGCTGAGGTATCTGCGAAACGTGTTAGTGCATACTGAACTAAAAAAATTGAAGAGCAGAAGTCACGAGGATGGCCAACATAGAATCGCATCCACGAGGATGTAGCCGCTACTATACCTTGGGGAAACAGCCAAAGAAGAGCAGAAACACCTACATGCAGAGCAGAGGAGCGGGACATTCAAAGGACAAGCCAGCACGCTGGCTGAAAAGTGGACAAAAAATATATGAACAGCAGGCACCGAGCTCCAATTTCGGCAGCATCACACGCAAACACTACCAATGTCCGGAGTTCGGCAGGGCAGAGCAGAAATTGTAGCCATACAGGGTTAACAGAGACTAAACCGAAGGCATTTCAAAACCCTTAGGGGAATCTAAATGACAGTTTTTGTATGGTTGATCTAATAACCCAATACGACACATTATACGAGTAGAATGGATATTTCTACTATATATCACGAATGTTCTTATTGGGCTGTAATAATGCGAGGACGGCTAATTGTTTGGCGGGCGTTGCAGGCAAAGGTGGGGACGGAAACGGTTTAACAATCTGCACGAAAAAAGAATTTGGCTACGCGTCGATCCTATACAAGACAATGGTCCTACTAACAAAAACCGCTAAGTGTCTTGAGTGCGCGGCTCAATTATGGCGAGCTCAGAATGATAATGAAGGATACAAAGTGTTAGTGTTAGAAGTAACCAAAAGAAATAATAGAACTAAGCAAGGAAACTGAAACTGAATCAAGTAATCTTAAATATTAATATTTGCAAATGCATTCAAAATGCATTTAAATAAAAATAAAAATCCAATAAAAACCAGTGCTCCAATGATTTGTAGTGGTCATATAAAAAAACCAAAAAGGGTGCTATGTCTGTATTAACAATAAGTATTTACCATATTTCAGTGAAGTGAATGAAATTATAAAATCAACAACAATCTGTACTTACCTATCGGTGCCACCAGCCAAGAAATAAATGCCCGTAAATATGCCATAGGCCAAGCCGATGCCGGTCGTAAAGTAGACATGACTCAATTTAATCGGATGTCCGACAATAGCTAAATCGATGAGCATAATCACCGAATTGAACACATGCACCATTATATTTAAAGCGTCTATTTTGTGAATTTCTAAAAAAAATAAAAGGCAAAATATTATTTTCCACTTCCAAAATCTCTTCACAATTCCCGCTATCTTACCTGGGTCATGCACCAGCAACCAATAAACCATCGTGATGATGAACGAATACACAGTCGCACATGTGTATAGCACCCAGTATATGTGATGTAGGCGACTCTTTCGCGCTTGACGCACAACCTCAAAGTCTTCACGTTCAACCATCATGCCCTGCGTAACAATCCACGCCGCTAGCCATGCTTGCACCGTGCAAAAGAGCAGACCCCAATGTGTCAGGTAGATCCACCACTTCGCATAGTGGTTTTCGAAATGCTCTTCGGTGCGCCCGATGTCGAGTAGTGAGCAGACAAGCGCCGCTAAGCAGGTAATTGCCGTTAGCCAGCGGTAGAAAAGATAGACGATGCGCACTTGAGTGTTGCGCTGCCACTAAAGGAAAAGAAGAAACGAGAGCGTTAACTAAGATAAATACCGACTTTGGAATCTTTAAAGATTTTATGACCAAGGAAAGTTTGTAGTTAGGGAGNAAAGATAAATACCGACTTTGAGTTATTCCAGCATTGTTCACATTTGGTTTGGAATCTTTAAAGATTTTATGACCAAGGAAAGTTTGTAGTTAGGGAGAGAACAGATAGCTTACCTGGCATAGGTAAAAATTGTGCCGGTGCACATGCTCCGGCGTGAATTTGGGGAAGCAACTGTTCCACAGTCGGCTAACCATCATTCTTTTTTGGCCGACGCACGACGTCGGATCGTCGGTGAAGTGATTGAACTCTTCGCAACTGTCGTCGTGCTGCGGTAGACGCGTCGTCGTTGTTTGTTGCTGGCGGTGGTAGTGTTGTGGTTGGTGCTGGTATTGTTGTTGTTGTTGTTGCTGCGGCGGTTGCTGCTACGGTTGCTGTTGTGGTGACGTTTTGTTGCTGTGCACGGACAACTGTGGATAGAGGAAATCCGTTGGTGTTGGTGGCGGAGTCGCCGCTGGTATTGGTGACCCGCTCGCAATACTATTTTCCGGTGCAGTGATAGTAACCGCCGGATAGGTAAATGGACGTAACGATCGATTGAGCACAGGCGAGAGTATCGGCTCGGCTTCTGTGTCAATGCCGATGTCGATGTCGTCGTATCCGACGTAATCGGCGTTGTTGAGCTCGACGAGATTAAGGTTGGTATTGAATTCGAGCCCCCAATCGAGTTCGAGTTCGAGCGCGCGTACAAGTTCGTCGTGTACGTCCGCTTCTGTTTCTGGTTCCGGTTCTGGCACCGGGATATCAAGATCTTCAAGATCCTCGACGTTAAGGCCCAAGCCAATGTCGAGGCCAATGTCGTCGTCAACGTCGCTAACGTCAACACCGACGCCGACGCCCACGTCGAGATCGAGGTCGAGATCGAGTTCAAGATCAGTATCCGGTTCGAGTTCGAGTGCCGGCGATGGTACGCTGCAATGTGCTGCAACGTCCAACAAGTAGTCGGCAGCAAGGCTGCTGCCACGTCGCGAAGACGACGATTTGTAAGCGTAAGCGCCAGAGTGTAGCGACGCTCGTTCGTATTCGTAGTCACTGGTGTCGAGATCGAGATCGAGGCCGAGTCCCAGGCCAAGTCCCAGACCGTATGCGCTGCCACAACCACCAGTGCTGCTGGGCGCAGTCGATGTCGCGGACGCGAGCAAAGGACGCGCCTGAATGGATGCCGCTGGGGAGGTGCGTCCGTAGGTCGCGCTAAGGGAGCCAGCAGTGAGATAGTTGCTGCCAATGCTCCCGCTGATACTGCCGCTGCCACCACTGCCACTCGAGTGGTACCAACGATAGTTCCGTCCGATGGGCGTGAGACCGCCTACGCCGCTGTCACTGCCGCTTGTGCCGAGATATGCGCCGCCGTAAGAACCGTAAGAGCCGTAAGTGCTGTAGGTCGAGCTGTGGTGGCTCGGCGTGTGATGGTTCGAACTGGGGTTTGTTGGTGGCGGCGGCGGCGCCGAGTAGTAGTTGCACGGAAGGTGCTGCTGCTGTTGTTGATGTTGCTGCTGCTGCTGCAGCTGTTGTATTTGTTGTAGTTTATGCAATTGCTGTATTTGATGTTGTTGAATGAGTTGTTCTTGTTGCTGTAAATGATGCTGTTGATGATGTGAGTGTTGATGAAGATGTGTGTATGAGGGTGCGGGCGAATGGGTCGGTGTGGAACGTGAACTGCTGATATTATAGTTGTGATTGTAGTTGTAGTTGTTGTAGTTGTAATGTTGTGGCAACTGCTGATACTGTTGATACTTCTGCTGGTACGGCTGATTCTGATACTTCTGGTACTGTTGGTACTTCTGGTACTGTTGATACTGCTGCGGTATGGGGCCACTAGTTGGCTCTGGACGAAAGTAAAGCTGCGCGTAATCCAATGTGATGGTGTGGTGATGGATGGGTATGTGTTTATATGGAGGCGTTTTAACTGATTAAAATGCTTGGTGAGGATTATACTTATTTTATATATATATATTTTTTTTGATTTTCTTTTGCGATTTATAACTGGATTTGCTTTTCGCTCTTCTTTCGCTAGAGGAATTGCGTTCAATTTTTTCGCTTTTGTTTTGGTTGATTGTGTTACTCTTTCGCTGTCGCTGTGATATCAGTTGAGCGCTGGACGTACCTGCAAGAGAGGAAAAAATGAGAAAAGAAAATATTGATTAGAGGAAGGGAAAATATGGCATTCAACTAGAACAGTAGCACTGCCACGTGCCGTATACGTAACTAAAGTAGTTATGGGGCCACGTTGTATCAAAGTACATATTGTATTATTGCTACGTATACGCAGTGGTGTTGTCCAGAAGACAATTGATTAATGAATTATGCTCAGTTCAGTTAACTCGGTCTGCTGCACGTGTTTAGTCTTAAGGACAGCAGACATACATTTCTATACATATCGCACATTTGCTGCAAGAGTGTCATAATCAAAAAAATAAATAAAAAATTGAGTGAGAAAAATTGAGTATGCAAAAATTACCGCTCCCGTTACCTCTACCTCTATGTTAGACAAACATTGTATACCTGTATCGATTACCAGTATAACACTAGAAAGAAAGGAATGTATTAATTTTTACCAAGAAAGTATGTATATGTATGTAAGTTCAAAACTTTAAAGCCATTTTTCCCGAGTTTTTGATTTTTTTGGATTATGACACTCTTGCAGCAAATGCGCGAAACAAATTTATAAGTGATGAATTACAAAGAGAAATTCTTGAGTATACATATGTATGTATATATATATATATATATACATTAAAGTGGTCCAAAAATGTATGTAAAAAAAAATAAGGTCGGATTTTTAATGCCGCACCCCCTAGGATTGTTACATACCGAAAAAAAATATACCCATATTTTTTTATTTTGAAATAAATAATTATTTAGGTAGTGCTCAAAGCGCTCAAAGTTTCCATGTATTTTATATGGAGAAAAAACATCTTTTCGTAGAAATAGTGTAGAATTCTTGAAAATCAATATTTTTCGATCGGAAAACTTTACATATCTTCAGGAGATTCCCAGTGATAATACTCGACTATTTCTGTAACAATTTTTTCATGGTAACTATATTTTATAGGTCATCCAAAGCCCTTAGAAAATGCAATGGAGGGACCAATAAAAAATCTTTAATCATAAAAAATGGTTAAATAAACAATTGGAATATTAATACTGGAAGTCTCCTGAAGAGAACCACAGTTTTCCGGTGGAAAAATATTGATTTTCAAGAATTCTACACTATTTCACTATTTTTTCTCCATATAAAATACATGGAAAACTTTGAGCGCTTTGAGCACTCCCTAAATATTTTTTGATTTCAAAATAAAAAAGTAGGGGTATATTTTTTTTCGATATAGATCAATCCTAGGGTGTGCCGGCATTAAAACTCCGACCTTATTTTTTGGACCACTCTAATATAAATGTATGTATGTATATTAGGGTGCCCATCGAAAATGCTTTTTTGTCTGATTTCAAAAATATTCAAGATTCAAGACGTAAGGAGGCTAAGCACAATGTGTATACCAAATTTGGTCGATATCGGCCAAGTAGTTTTTGAGATAGGCATATAACATATAAGTAGGCGGTGCCACCCCCATTTTCCTAAAATTTCTTAAAAAAAAAAACACTTTTTTGCTAAAGAGGGATTGTATATATCAATTTTGAATAAATATTGATGACCTCCTTAGCCACAGTGCTTAAAAAAAAACCGAAATTCCGGTACATACACACATATAAATTCAAGAAAAGTCGCCTAAATTCGAAAATTTGTATGCGATTGCAATAAACAAGGTGTCAGTTTATTTGAAAATAGATTTAATTTTTGGATAGTACTCTATATTTTGAAATTGTAGAAATTATCGATGGTCAAAATTAAAAAAATTAAGAGTTATATGGGTATTTTTGTAATTTACCCGATAAAAAATCATAACAAGCCTCGTCCGACAATAGATTGTTATATACCATTTTAAAGGTCTATATATCCTCTTCTCAGATCATAATCGATCTTTGAAATCAGATTATATTCGATCTTTGAAATNCGATCTTTGAAATCAGATTATATTCGATATTTGAAATATGAGCATCAAATGGAAAGTGTTTTGAAAATTTCCAATTCAGAAATATTTTTGAATGGGGTTGCCACATATTTTCTATAGCATCTTTTTTAAATTTTTGTTTGAAATTTAAGATACAATATTACTTTGCACGTGTGCTAAAAGGCAACTCTTAAACAACGCTTTACCTATATAGTAAGAGTTGTCCCTCAAAATATTAGTATAAGGTTGCCACTTCTTTTCAATTCTACAAAATTTAACTAAAATAACTTAATATGGATATCAAATTAAAGGTATTTTTGAGAAATTTTATCGAGAAATGTTTTCGTTGATGGTTCCTACGTTTTTTTTTTTTAATATCAATTTGTATCTTACTTACTAATTTCAACAAGCATTTTATTGTAAGTGTGTGAATACGCAGTACATTTGCACTCAAAATATGTACTCTTCAACCTGGCGTATTTCTTAATAGGGTTGCCAAATAACTTTTGATATCAAATATTTTTAAAATTTATTACATTCAAAGGTTTTTTTTCCAAAACATTCTTTTGTTGGCGATATTTTTGTTACTTAACATTACTTTTTCAAAGCTTTTTATTTGTATTTTGAGGTATTTCTTAGGCTAAAATATTAACGCGGATAGGCGTAATGTTAAATAACAAATTCCATTTACAATATTACATAAAAAATATTTTTAAATTAAAGCTATCCAATTAACCATTATTTGAACAAACAAATAAATATATATATCGATATTTCAGTAATTATCGATAATTATATCGATAAATATCGATTTTCTTAATAGTAAATATTTNCCATTTGCACTCAAAATATGTACTCTTCAACCTGGCGTATTTCTTAATAGGGTTGCCAAATAATTTTCGATATCAAATATTTTTAAAATTTATTACATTCAAAGGTTTTTTTTTCCAAAACATTCTTTTGTTGGCGATATTTTTGTTACTTAACATTACTTTTTCAAAGCTTTTTATTTGTATTTTGAGGTATTTCTTATGCTAAAATATTAACGCGGATAGGCGTAATGTTAAATAACAAATTCCATTTACAATATTACATAAAAAATATTTTTAAATTAAAGCTATCCAATTAACCATTATTTGAACAAACAAATAAATATATATATCGATATTTCAGTAATTATCGATAATTATATCGATAAATATCGATTTTCTTAATAGTAAATATTTTAAAAAACGATAGTCGATACATGTGTTTGACACTCGATAAATA